CTCTTTACAGTCTTTAAGTCGCATGCAATATTAATAAGTCTTTAGCCCCTCCTACAATGTAGCATGGATTCCGGGTAGGCAAATGCACTGATTTCTAGTTGATGTTGCTCTGAACATCTAAATGCCGGGTCTGCTTATTTAATGTGCATTCACACAGGGCATCAACACGGATGCACTCACTAACAGAGCAAGCTCACAGCAGGGGAACCCCAGAGGCCCCTGCTCAGGTGCACCTAAGATGCCTGCCCCAGAGCCAGGCAAGGCCAGCAGCAACCAGGTTGCCCAGAGTGGCCGGTGGACTCCGCTTCATCGCAGGCTTTCTGGACAGGAAAGCCCAGGCGGGGCTCACTTTACCTCCGTAACTATCAAAGCCTCCCTCGTGTCTTTGGTGGAAAGCAAGGAAAGAGGGCCGGCAACAGGAGCTGCTGGGTCTGCGGTGCCGGGCTGTGCTGACCTCATCACCCCGCGGTTTGAAGAGTGGCCTCTGGCAGATGGCGGGGCTCCACCTGGGGCCTGCAATGTTCAGCACTGAGTTTGTGACACAAGTGCAGGCTTCAACTTCAAAAAGTATGCATGAAATTGCTAAAATATATATATATTTCTTTTAAAAAGCTACTCAAAGAGATCCCAGGAACATTAAATAAAATTTAAAAATTTTAGAAATGATATGAAGCTCTCCCTTTAATTATGAGGTGTTATCAAAATGGTAAATATCTTTTTTTAAATGTCCTTCAGTAAGAGACACACTGTCGTTAATCCCCCTCAGAATCCTCCCCTCACCTCAAACACACTCATCCCACCGCCCCTGCCACTTTCTGAAGAGTTCTGGAGCCCTCTTTGAGGTCCTGACTGTCACTGCAGTAGCTGCCTTGACACCCTCGCGTGGTCATCCCGACGTGGGGGAAGACACGGCTCACACGGTGCCAGGTCCCTAGGGTAAGGTGGATGAGGACACTGCGATGTTCTGTCTGGGGACTCTCGCTGTTTCAGACTGGGTCTCCCTATATAGTCCAGGCTGGCCTTGAATTTGTGGTAATCGTCCTATCTCAGCTTCCCAAGTGCCAGGCAGGTGCCACCATTCCTGACCACACCATGATGTTTTTACAACCCTGCTCTTCCAGTAGCAACAACAGCTGCCATATTTTTATCACGCCTCATAAAGACACTCACAAAAGCAAACTTCCAAAACTGCTTCAGAAAGTGGCAAGAATGATGGGAGAGGGGTGTTTAAGGCGAGGAGGAGAACTCTTGGGAGGGATCGGTGGCCGTGTGTCTTACTGTAATCATTGTTCAATTTCAGCATGTACCATACAATTGATCATACTCAGTTTTATGTGTCAAGAAGAAAACATAATAATAAAAGGAAGAACTACACCGATGGTGACAACCAGCCAGAAGCGCAGTGAGTTAGTACTCCCTGCATGAACACTGAAGATGCACGTTCACATGAGTGGGTAACTGTCCGGATGAGGACAGAGGGCCACTGTTTCCCACCTCGCAGTTCCTCCCACCCCGGGCAGGACCTATGGGCCAAGGTGCAAGAGCAGCAGTACAGCCAGAGCCACGGAAACTGGAGGTGGCGGTGGAGCCAAAGGCCAGCCCCCCACACCTGGCCTCTGAGTCACAGAGAACTGCAGGAAGCAAGAAGACAATCGTTTCTAAGATAGACCCTCAAATTGTAGCTTTCAAATGTGACTTCCCAGTGACTGGGACCCTGCTACAGTGAAGATTACTGCACCACAAGGGACACTGACCCAGCTGCTCTTCGCGGGGCTGAGGACTGAAGCAGGACCTTTCCACTGAGCTACATCCCCCTTCCTGTCCTACTCTTCAGAGATGGGGTCTCATTAAGTCACTAAACTGCACAGGCTGGGCTTAGGCTTGTGAGCCTCCTGCCTCAGCCTCCCAAGTGGTGGGATTCCAAGCAAGCACTCCCATACCCAGCTGCAAGAGAGCCTTTTTCTTACTGCCATTTCCTGTCCCAGTGGTACTGAAGTGCTCCATCCCCCAGGACGAAACACCTCTCAGGGTGTGGCACCTTAAAGCACAGCAAAATGACCCAAGTGGGAAAAATACTTCTGTTGCCGCTGCCCTTTAAAATTATAATCTACCTCTCACAGAGCTTTAGCAGAGAAAGTAACAATGAGATGACCACGAACACCTCTGACCAGCCAACTTCCCAAAAGAAATGCTAGCATTCTTCTCATCCTTAGGGATGTTCTTTAGTGGAACTTCCAAGAGCTTAGGGAAGCAAGTTCATACGCAGGTCTGGATCCTGCAAATCCCACTCCAATGTGATCCTCCCCTCTCCCCTAAAACACGGTGCTTTCCACTGCTGCCTGACATGGATCCTAGTTAGACTGCGTGGCCCATGTGTGTGATTGGCAAGCTGACTGACAGCTACCCTGTACCTCCTGCACACCAGGCATGGTTCTCGGGGAGCTCTGTCCCCACAGGTTATATTATAGCAGGAGAAAAATCAGCCAACACGTAAACCCAGTGAGATGGATCCCAGCACTCTGGGAGGCTGAGGCAGAAGGTTCACAAGTAAGCCCAGACTGGGCAACTCAGGGACACCGTAAATCAAAATAAAAAAGGGCAGAGGATGTAGCTCATTGTGAAGGCCCTGGGTTCAATATCCAGTGCCTGCCTCCCTCCAAAAAAACCAAGATTAATCACGGTACTGCACCGTATGCGCATATGCATGTCTAGTGGAGGCAGTTTCAGTGTGGCTGAGGAAGATGGGCCACTATAAACTCAGTCCCTCTTCCTGAGAATGGTCTTTTGTGACCTTTGTAGAAGTAGTCATCCTACAAGAGATCGAGAGGCCATGCAAGGACTTCAGAGTGAAATTTCTCAGTAGGATGAAAGACAAGGACCAAAACCCTGGAGACCAAAATTTGTTTCATGTGTTCATGACATAAAAGGTGGTAAAGACGGAACACAGTGAGCAGAGAAAGAAAGGGCATGGAGGTAAAAGTCAGGGCACCAGAAAGCCTGCTAAGACATTTGGGTCTGGTTCTGTCCTGAGAAGGCTTCCAGCCATGGAGTCATGGAAGCTCTCCAGATGCTCAGTATAAATAAAGCCACAAAGCTGAACAGTCGGCCACGGAAAGAGACCCGGGAGAAGAGAGGCCCTGGGACGCAGCACCGGGCAACTGGACACCAGAGGCTTGATGGGTGCCTCGGTCCCAGGAGAGGCCCTGGAAAGCTTTGTGCTGATACAGAGTCAGGGCAGTGAGGACAAAGGCAGCAATCTTGAAAAAAGGGAAACAGGTGTTTTCATAAGCATACTGCACAACCGGGCATTTTCACCGAAGGCAGTTTTAGGCTTGTATTTTTATATATTATGAAATATTTCTGCAAGACCAGTTTCCCCAAAGCTTTTGCTCATAATGCTCAAAAAATACACTTGAGTAAACAAGCAAAAAGTGCTGAGGAACTCTTAACTACTTCAAGGTAACTCCTGTTATCCAGGATGTGACAAGTCATAGTTCTTGTCCATCACCGGGTTTCCTTCTAACCACTGTGCTCCTGCAATGTCCAGAGAGCCGGTCACTTAGTGCCAGAACAATGGGAGTGTAAACAAGTCCTCCTGTGGGGCAGTGTTTTGACTTGCTACATCAAAAACTGAAAATAGCTTTTAAAAATTATAACTGTGACAGGGTGATTCAAATAATTTAATGTGATTCCAATTTCCTTCAACTTAGACAACTGTCTTCACTGAAAAGCAACTGGAAAACAGTGGTTATTAAACTTAAATGTGAAGAAACATTACAGGTGCTTCTAAGTGCAGCCTAGATGGCGTCCCCTGGTGGCCACGGGTCCACGGGATAGGCTGAGAAACTATTTTTTTCAAAAGCTACCCTGGTAACTCACTTTATGAACTCACTTTGCAAATTTTACTTTGCTTAACAAGGAAATGGACATTAAGAACAGACCAGGGTACACAATAACAAACCACTGGAAAAAAACATTTGCCTACCTTGACTCACCCATGGCTCCAGACACATTTAAGTAAGTGCCAAGTACCCCCATGTGCCTAGTTAACACAACCCGGACATTTCCAAAGTCCCACTGTTCAGTCCATCCACTACATGCTCATGTACATGTGCTGATATAACAGTGTAAATGATTGTATAAGGCTCACTGAAAAGTTAGTATCTTCACAGCAGCCTTCTAGAACCAGCTCTGTCTCCCTTAAATACACATTCATAAACTCAGAAATTCAGTCTCAGGTAACTACTGACCTACGTTTCTGCAACTCATTTAAAAGAATATGGAGAAGCCAATGTCAAAAGACCTATTTCGTCAACGGCACTTGCAATGTATGTCTTTTGAATGAATATAAATCAATCCTCATTTATCATTTTCTGCTGAGTTAACACCGATATACGACTGGAAATTGCATTTCCAACAGGGCTCCCATTCACCCTTGCATATGAGCAGCTTCCTGATCACTTGGAAAACCCTTTAAGATTTTCTCTAACACTTATTCCAGGGCTGGGGAGGAAGTTTTAAGAAAAAAGGAAACAAGGCAAGTGACCCTTTTTCAATGAAAGGAAAGATTATCCACAGCAGAGGAAACAGAGGTTGAGGGGGAAGGACAGTCATGGTACAAAATTGTTTGAAATGAGAAATGAAATCAGGAATTAAAAATAGAATTACATTTTCTACTTGGCAATATACAAACAACACTAAGTGCACTTCATAAATTTCACTATTGTTGCTCTAAGCGATATTACCATAAATCACATTCGTAGCGTACTCGGCATTTTTTAAAAGCAGAAAGGATGGAGTGTGTCAGTAAGTCTAAACAGCTGTGTTATCTCTGAAGGGTGGAAAAGAAATTATCACATGCTTTCGCCAGGTTTAAAAGCCCAGTTCTAAAGTGTCCACTGTTGTGATCCTTCCACCTCCAGCCTTAGGACAACACACAGGGCCATTCTGCCAGCAATCTACTAGAAAATGTTTGCTGCTGCTTCCTCGACGCTTTTTACCTGATGTGCAAGGGGCAGTGGCTGTCTGCCCCGCCCGTCATCACGGACAGGAAAGAGAGACTTCAGCAGCTTCGGCATCTGTGGCACCAGGGACTTCACCGGATTCAAGTAGGAGGCTGCAAGACTACCAAGTCCTGTGTCAAATTGAAAGGAAAAACATATAAAACTGATTAGGGGCCATTTTCTTTCCTGTAAATTTGCCATTTATCATTTGTAAGCAAAGCTAACAACAGAAATTTTAAGAAGGTACCCTTAAAAATTAGTATTAGACAAAGATACTATCATCATAGTTATCTTCAAATACAATGGCATCTCTTAAAACCAATTACTTAACCTTCCACAAGGTGCTAACATCAGCATTTCCGTCAGCAGCCGAAGGGTACTCTACCCTAGTTCCTGCTACAAGGACTAACTTCTGCTCTAGAATGAAAAGGGACTGGATTTTTGAATCACATAATCAGTGACATCCAGTAGATGTCATTCTTGTAGACATCAAGCTCTTGAAGTCATGGTCTTCCTCAACTATAACTTTTCATAACTATTTGCTAAAAGAAACAATAAATCTGACCTTTTGGGGAAAGGGCAGTGATTAGTTTTTTTTTTTTTTTTTTTTTTATATTAGCTACTTTTAAAAGAGAGGGACAGCAGTCTACAGTAACCACATGCTTGCCTGTTGTCATTACCAAAGACTGGGATCAGAGGCGTTGACAATACCAGCAATACAGTAAGATTTCCTTTCCCTTACCTACTTAAAGGAAAATCTAAGCGAAGTCATAAATGATAAAACGCTGTATTCACATAACACCTTGGAAGTATACTGAAATCACCTCAAAGAACATGTAGGTTCTCCCTACACAAAAGAGCATACACACTGCCAGCCCTCCACTCTACACAAGCCCACAGGGACTCTGGACTCCCCAGCAGTGCAGCAGGTGAGACAGGTACAGTTGCAAGGTTTCTGCACTATACATAAGGCAGCATCACCTGACTGAAAAATTCAGGATGTATACTGGCCACTCAAGAGATGAAGTGAGGGCCAGGGATGTAGCTCAGTGGTTCCACCGCCTGCCTCACAAGTGCAAGGTCCTGAGTTCGATCCCCAGTACCAAAAAAAAAAGAGAGAGAGAGAGAGAATTTACAAAAAAGTAAAAGCAAGGAAGAGAAACAAACAAAGAGAGGCATGAGCAGAAAATAGACCTAAACATGAATAAACAGTTGGAGGATGGAATCACATCAATGCTGAGAAAAACAGACAATCCAGAGCTCTGTCTCAAGTTAATCTAACATCCAGAGGGAGGATGGTCTGCAACTGAACAAGAATCTAGCCAGTGGTGGCGAACTTATGGCACACGTGCTGCAGTGGGCTGTTTGTGATCACTGAAATCTCTAAAAGGTTCACCATCACTAGCCTGGCTGACAGCAGTCAAAGGCTGCATGAATCACAGCACAAGAGAAAGGCAGGTGGGAAAGCATCTGGGCACACAGGTAAGTCAGGCTAACCAGGAGTGGATCTTTCTGAAATCCAGGGGGTACTTGGAGGCACACTGTGGTACTTTTTACTATGTTGGACATTTTCCATAATGGTTTCCAAAGTATGAGAGCAAAATTAAAACTTTAAACATCTAAAAGAAATCAAGGGTTTGCCACTAAAAGACAACTACTGAAAGCACTGATGACAGATATGACTCACTAAAGAAACTAAACCCAGAAGAACGCAGTGCAATGCAAGAACAACGATGAGCAAAACAAAACATCAAGTATGTAAACCAAGTAAGCACAGACTGATTCTAACTGTAACACCGCCGCACTTAGGGAATTTAAAACTGGGTGGTACCCTGTAACTCAGTAATTTCACTTCTAAGCATTTACTGCACAAAAAGACTTACCCAAAAATACGCTCTATTCATAGTACCCCAAACTGGGAAAACCCAAATGTCCATGGGCAGTAAAATGAACTAAAAACTGTGATAAACTCAATTGTGATAGAGAAATATTTCTCAGCAATAAAAAAGAATGTATTACAGATGGCAGCAACAATATGCAAGACAAACACACTTTCTGAGCAAGGGCCCAGCTCAAAAAGACCACATACACCATGGTCCCATTTACGCACAGCTGCAGAAGGAACCTGCAGCAACAGAAACCAGCTCAGTGGCTGACGACGGGGACCAGCTGGGGTTGTGGGAATGTTTGCAATCACAGGTAGGAGTCACATGTGTGTGCATGCACCTATCTACCCAAACATACATAACTACGTACACAAAAACACACACTGGACAAAGCTTACTAAATATGACCCATGACCGTGAAAAGATGGTCAATAAAAGTAGATCTTTGTGTGATTTAGCAAACACTTTTAGGTAGCTTTTCAAAATTCATCCAAGGAGGAAAACAATGTGGTCTTAACAAATGCCCAGCAGCAAATGGAAATTCTAGAACTGAAAAGAACAATAACTGAAAGTTTAAAAATTCTCAGGATGTGCTCAACAGAACACTGGAAATGGCAGAAGAAATGAACCAACCAGAAGACAGACTAAGATACACAGGTTAAATATACAAAGTAAGAACAGAGTCTCCTGGACCTGTGTGGCAATGCCAGGCAACCTGAGCTGTGTGTTAGTTGCAGAAGGACGAGAGAGAGAGATAAAAACAGAGGAAACAGTCTAGTGAAAAGTGGCTGATTTTTCAAATTTGCTGAAAACATCAACTTTCAGATGCAAGAACATCAGTGAAATCCAAGCAAGATGAACAGTACGAAAACTATTCATAGTCAACTGCTAAAAACAAAGAAAGAAAAAATAAATACAATACAATAAATAAAAACAAAGATAAGGAGAAATTTTGAAAGCAGACCAACTACACAAAGACACATCGCACGTGGGGAGGCAGCACAAGTGCTGGGTGAGTGCAGGCAGACCAGGCCTGGGCGGGTGGAAACAGCTCTGCAGAGCTAGTGGGAAAGCCAGCAGCCCAGAAGTCTCTAGGTAGCCAAAGCAGCCTTTTAAAAAAGAAAAGCAAATGAACAAAAACAAGGACATAAAGACAATCCCAAGAGAAGAGAGCACTTCTCTCCAGGAGAACTGAACTGTAGGAAATTCTCAGCACATTCTTCAGGCTACAAAGAGTGAAACCAGATGAAAACCAGATCTTCAGGGAGGACTGAACAGTGCCTGAAATAATAAATATTAGGAAAAATATACAAGATTAGCCACTTAATTTCCTTAAAGGACAAGCAGCTGTCTTGAGTCTCTCAGTTCCCTTAAAAGACAAGCAGCTGTTTTAAAGCAAAAAAAGACATGGTAAAGTATATAACATCTAGAGATTGAAATACGGAAGAAATTATTCCCTGACCATGATAAAATTAAATAAAAATGAAAACATATTCCCAAATACGTAAACATGAATTAGCATGCTACTGCATAACCCATGGGTCAAAGAAATCAAGAAAATTTAAACATATTCTAAATAGAAAGATGATGAAAGCAAAACATGACAAAATACACAAGCAGAATTCTTAAAATTAATGAACTAGAAAATAACAAAAGTCGGTTCTACAAGATTAATCCATCCAATAAATCTGACAACCCCAATAACTATCATTATCAGAATAAAAAGAAACTGTATGTACAAGAGATACAAATCTAATAATAAGGTAAGACTGCAACATATATGAAAAAAATCTTTGTGGTCCTGGAGATTGAATACAGGGCTCTGCACTGAGCTACATCCCTCTCCTTCAATTCTTTGAGAACAGGGTCTTGCTAAATTGGCTAAATTGCCAAAGCTGGGCTTGAACTTGTGATCCTCCTGCCTCAGATTTCCAGAGTGTTGGGATTACAGGTATACATCATCATGCCTAGCTGAAAGGAAGTTTAATAATTTACATGAAACAGAAAATTCATTGAAAAACATAACTTATGAAGACTGACTCAAAGAATAAAAAAACTAAAGTAACTGTTTTAAAGAAACATAAGGCATAATTTAAAATCTTCCCACAGAAGTGGGAAGGGTAGGGGAAAGGAAAGAAGGGAAAAGAAAAAAATATGAGAAAAGGAAAAAAATGGAAACAAAGTCTTTGTAAATAGGGAAGGGTGGAGGGGGTGAAGGGAGGGCAGGAGAATGGGGAAGAAATAAAAACCAAGATACGTCATGTAAAAGTACAAGATTCCAATGATAAATGTAACTGTATTGTATACCTAAAGTGTACCAATGAACTTAATGGAAAAATAAATAAATAAAATCTTCCCACAAAGAAAATTCCAGGTCCAAATAGCGTCGCTGGGGAATTCTGTCAAACATTTAAGGGAAGCATAGCACCAAACATACATAAACCCTTCCAGAAAAATATGAGGATAAATATCTCCCTAGTCATTTTATAAAGCCAACTCAATCATGATAAGATACCAACATCTACCAAAAACACAAATATGAGAAAATAACAAATTACAGATAGATACTCATCATGGAACATGGACACAAAAATCCTTAACAGAATATTAGCAAACAGAGTCAAGCAATATAAAGGGTAAAACATCAGGGTCAAAAGTGAAGTATTTATCAGAGGAATGCAGGATAAACCCAACATTCCAAAACCAAGTAGCTCAACATGTTAAGTCAAGAGGGAAATACTCACATGGACATCAGCAGAATAGTGGCTACCTAGCAGGAAATTGTGACTTAAACTCTTTGGAAAGATCCTCAAATTTCATCATCGTGACTGATAAGTGAAAAGATAACGTACCTGGATCTGGAGAGTGGTTATTTTGGGGAGAAACAGGGAGGGTTGGGGGTGCTGGAGCTATTCCTCTGGAAACTGGTGTTTGGGATACATCCTGCTGACTTTCCCACCGGCCCTATAGTAGGACAAAATCAGTTTTGTTTCCAATTAATGAATTAACAGAAAAAATTAAGCATATATTCACATGAAAAAGTGTTCTGTATTACCAGAGCTTTACTCTCGTTCCAGAATGCAAGTTTGATCAAATAAGCATGTCTTTCTACACATCCTCGGGCTTGCAGAAGGAGTTCTCGTGGTGACACCACCATCTCACACATAGGTGTCCCTCCACCTCACGGTCTGCCTCCCTGCCTCGAGATACCCTTCTTCACCTTGTTTCCAAAGGAACCCAGGACATGCCAGTGTGGGAAGGGCCTCCTCTCCCGCTCCCAGAAGTATGCATGTCCTCTGACAGCGTGCACCCAAGTGCAAACTCTCAGGCAGCACAGCCTATTTTGCAAACACCCGCAGTTCCCTTTGACTCAATTCTCTGATGCTGACTTCTTTCTCACTGGTGTTTAATGACGGCACTTAATATTAGTTTTCACTAGTGTTTTGCAGGTGAACTGCCCTACCCACGAGGAACTGCCTGAAATGTGCAATGGAAACAGCAGGCGTCTGCTGCTCCTCAAGACAGAGCGAGCAGAGAGGCTTTAGGGGCTTCTGCTGTATACTGGGAACCTGTCTGCTTTTAGCAGTAACCTAAGTACTGATCATAAAATCAATAAGCCCTAAGTGATCTGGATCGTGTTTACCTCTGAGAGCGCCACTGTTCCCTAGGAACACTCTTCGGCACTTGAGAGCATTTTGAAAATGGCATGATGTTCAGTGCTCATTAGGAAAGCAGAGAGACAAAGCAGACACGAACACAATTGGGGAAACATGAACTCTGAAATGCTTCAGTGTAGGAGCAGTTGCGTTATTATGGATCACTTGCTGATTTACATACATTGATGTTTTGTTAATGTTTTTGCATTTAAATTTAACTATCTGGAGGCTGGGGATTTAGCTCAGCGGTTTGGTGGCCTTCCTCGCAAGCGCAAGGACCCGAGTTCAATCCCCAGTACCAAAAAAATAAAAAATAAAATAAATTTAACTATCTGTCTGGGAGGCTGCAGCTCTTCCAGCCCTGGGATGTGGCAATCAGGGGCCTGAATGCTAAGGTCGCCAATCTCCAGGGCTTCTCAGGCTCGGGTTAGTGTCAAGTTCACATGAGGTTCTTAAAACAACTTACCTGTTTTAGAGTAAGTGTATTTTCATACTTTAGATTTTCTTCATTGTTTGGCAGCTGACATTATTGCAGGGACACAATCTGTCCCTTAGGAAAAAGAAATAGCTCATTTGGAGTCAGCCCAAGGGTTGATGCAGAATGGTCCAATGACAAATCATGTAGGTGTCACCTCTTCCCTGGGCAGACTCCGGCGCCCAGCTGGCACTCAGAATTACGTGGAGGCGGGACCAAGCAGTCAGGCTGCCTGCCTCGCTCCCACATCTTCCCAGCGAGAACGCGTGAACAGAATTAGACAATGCCTAGGTACCCTCTGGCCCTGTCAGCTAAGGAGAGCTAAGGCACCTGCCACTTCTATCCATCTGTCCTCCAGCCAACCAGCCCAGGGGAATTCCACAGCTTCCTGTGCCCTCTTCCACTGCCCACGATGGGGTGGGTGGGGGTGCACAATACTCCAGGGAGGAATGGGCTCTGCTTCCGAGGGAACAACAAATCCAATGGTAAAACAGGTAGATGCCCTCCTTCCTCCAGCAGCTTCTCACAGAGCCCACAGTCACTGAGCTGAAACCCTTCACTGTTCATCAGTCTTTCTCCTTTTCTGGCCAGAGACGAACCCTGCACAGTGCACACACTTTCTCCCAGGCACAGGGTAGGCACTGCCTTCCTAGTAAATCTGAGATGCTTGGCTATTCTGCAGTTTTCCTCTCTTTACTGAGATGCTAAGGTAATAAAAAAAATATGTAGCAACCCAGTTAAAAGATCTCAGGTGATGAACTTGGGACTATGAATAACAGATCAAAGACTATGGAACTTCTGGGTCTCCTAGATAGCTCAGGTTGCAAGAAGTAAAAGAGGACATTTTTTTTTTTTACCACAATGATAGGTACCCTATGTGACCCAGAATCTCAAAAGATCAATCTCTGATCTGTTTCTAACAGTGCACATCTTCTGAATTCAGAATTGGCTACACATGAGAGAAAAAAAGACACTTGCTTTGTTTAGATCCCCAGAAGAGCTCCACAACTATTAGGGATTGTCTGTTCTACAGGCAGAATGAAGAAACACAATCCTCTCTGAGACAGCAATCATGGGAGCTGACACCATGCTCAGAGGACAGGCAACAAGGCAGGAGTCCGGGAGGCCCTCGGGGACAACACTGCTGGGCCACGGCTTTCCCATCCCTGCTCCTCTGCCACATACACGTTCTTTGGCTTTTCTGTAAAAGGGTCCTGTTTGATCAGGAAAGTGACATGGAGGTAAATAAAGAAAAGTGCCAGTGACATTTCAGGTCCAAAGGTAGCTCCCAATGCGGCCAGGGAAGAAGTGACTCATGTTTGGCATGGACCGGCACCAGGGCTACGCTGAGTAATGAGTTTCGGGAAGGCAATGTGACCAAAACAGTTCAGTTTTGTTAAGTGAGTATCACTCAAGTTATGGGCTGATTCTAATTCCATCAAAGACTCCAATCAGATCACAAGGTAACTATGTACCTTACTAATTTATTAAAAATATAATTTCCCCTAAAACGACTTTAGAAATAACAATGTTTTCATTGACAGCTTTCCTTGTAATACAAAAGACCTCAGTGCACAGCCAACTTTAAAGTGGAAAGACCAACAACAGGCTGAAATTAATTTTGCACCTAAATATCTGCTGGTAGACAGTCATAAAAAGACTGCTAAGTTTTCATTATCACTATTTTTAAAACCTCCTTACAATAATAATGAAACACCAATAATAGTAAATAGCAATATCCCTTCAATTAGGGTTCATATTTTATATTTTTAATTGAAAGTCTTATCCCAAGAGTGAGTTCTTTTAGGCCCTAAGGTAAATCTAAAATGTGAAATAATCAAATTCTATTTTTTTAAAGATTAATTAGTTCATCAATTCAATATTAGTGAAGCCCAGTAAAGCAATTCCAATTCTGTTAGGTGAGGAGCATCAATAAAGAAGGGTATGCAAACAGGCCGGCCCGATTCAAGGTGTTATTAGGCCGTGCTGCATCTGTTTTTAGAACTTATTTCCGCTTTACCTCACTGTCCCAATAGCCCAAATCCTACCTCTCCTTTCCTGACTTCCTGCCACCTTTCTATCCTACTCTTGCTCAAGGATGATCCTTAGCTATGATAGTCACTGACCACACAAGGAGAGGGAGACTACAGCCTGTCTGGTGGTATCTCCCTGCTTCTGAACATCTTTTTGGGGCCTGGAATGCTCTCACATTGGGACATGGTGCACAGGTTCTAACCTGTACTTCCAATCTGGAACCCACATCAGAGGGAGAGATCTGCCCATTAACAGAAACAGAGAACCCAGAGGTAGTCCCACATAAGTCTGCAGGGTACATAAAACTCCTATTAGTACAATTTTAATTACTTCAAAATGTATTTTCTAGCATTTTTAGCACTGCCAGATCCAGGTTTAAATTCCATTTCTGACTCAAATCTCCGTGACATTAAATACTTTGTGCAAAGATACCAAGATGGCCCTTCACTACAAAACCCCGGGTCAAAGAATGATCAGAGGACTTCTGCAGTTTTCTGTTCCCATGCCTACAGGTCTCCAAGTATTTATCTGCGCCATGCACTTAACATGAATTAACTCTAACTTCTCACATTCCAGAACTTCCTAGACTTTTACAGTCTAGGACCCAGGTACCAAGCAACACTATTAAGAATCAGATACAGGCCGGGGATTTAGCTCACTGGTTCCACCACCTGCCTTACAAGCACAGGACCTGAGTTTGATCGCTGGTACCAAAAACAAGCAAACAAACAAACAAACAAATCAGACACTGACCACCAAAGTTACTGCTTCAAAGAGAAAGAGCTAGTTCAGGGTCCAGTGTAGGCATCCTACAGAAGCTACTTCTAAAAATTCTTTGTGTTGTGAAGTAAGAGCACGCGATGTATATGGTTTACACTGCAGGATAGTATTTGTATCCCATCCACTCAGTAGGAAAATCTAATGGATTAATATTCATGACAAGGCCGTACTTCATTTCTCACTGCCATGCAGCTCTGAGCCATCAGTGGTTCACGCGTGACTGTCCCATCAGACAGCATGGACAGTCCACTGAGTGGTACAAACCACTCAATGGGACAGTCCTGCATGTTAACCAGTGGTTAAGCCAGTGGAAGCAGGTTAATTACCTCTCCATGGAGCTCTGAAAACTGAGGAATGCAAGAAGTCTCCAAAAGAAAAGAGACACCAAATGTGAGTCTTTGACATTTCCAAAACAATAATTTCTCCAGCAACTGCTCCTTCAATAATCACGAATTACAGATACAGAAACTGAAGGCCATCTCATGCCATGAAATGTAAACTTCTAGCAACATAAAAGCTTAGAGAGCAACATTTTAAATTTTAAATACGTTAAACTGGTTGCGTGGTCTGAAAACCAAACAGAAGAAAGCTCCAGGGAGAAGCTCCTCCTACCTCCACCCCACCTCCTGCCCTCCTCTGCCTCTCTCCCGGGCAGGTAACGGGCAGCAGTTCTTATGCACTGGCAAGCAAAGCTGTACACAGCCACACATCCTGCTCGTCCCAGCCTCTCATAACCCACACAGCAGTCTACTGCTCTGCACTTCCCTCCTGATCACTGAAGATGCTTGGCGATGCTCCCAAATTAGTTTCTGGAGGGGTTCCCATTTTCACAGGTACATACTAACCTGTTTGAACACGTGAAAAATCCATTTAGCCAGACTGCACAGACAGGCACTTTGTTTGTTTCCAGTCCTGTGCTGTGACAAGCATGGTACTATGTGCGTGTGCCCCTTCCATGTGTGTAAGCACTGCTGTGTTCAGGGATTAATAGTGCTTCTATCTTCTGTGTGTCCCTTAATTTAACCTCTACTCATTCCTACGGGACACCCCTACTGGTGCATTCACAATACACTTTAATTCCAACGCAATCACATAAGTCCTTTAAAGGCTACAAGCTGAGTTTCTGTTTCTTGCTATTAGGGAAAAAGATGCTCCTTTTCTCACTAAGGGGATTAACTCTGAAAACACTGTACTCACTGGTGGGGCAGGCCTATAATCCCAGCACTCTGGGAGGCTGAGACAGGACGATCATAAATTCAAACCAAGCCTAGGCAACTTAGTAACATCGTGAGATCATGTTAAAATAAAAGAAAGGGCTGGGTTGAAAAATAAAAGAAAGAGAGCGGCACTACTCCTGCCCTGCGAGCACAAGGAGTTCCCTGGTACCAAAAAATAAATTTTAATTTAATTTAAAAAATAAAATAAAGGGCTAAGGGTGTAGCTCAGTGCAAAGGCCTTGGTTTCAATCCCCAGTATGACAAAAAAGAAAGACAGGAAAGGAAGGAAGGAAGAGGAGGAAGAGGGGAGGGAGAGCGGTGAGGGGAAGGGGAGAAAATGGGAAGGAAGAAAAAGAGAGGGGAGAAGAGGGGAGGAGAGAAGAGGGGAGGGGAGGGAAGGAGAAATGGAAAAAAAGCACAGACTTACATTCCTGAATAACCTTTTTTAAGATGTCCTACTTTGGATGATAAACATATGGGTCCCATCGATTGAAAACGGGGAGCTACTCTATTCTCCCCAAGTGAGCTGGACTCAAAACCCTCTGGCTCACGCTCTTACCCTTAAACAGGCAGCTGCTACCAAACAGTTCTCCTTCACCTGCCTCTACAGGGGCAGTGATTCTCTTATCTTAGTACAGGGACATTCATGTCACCTGCTGGTCTGCATACAGGTGGTGTCCACAGTGACCAGAGGCTGACTATAGGTACAACCTCTCAAGGTAAAAGAAGGTAAGAGGACGCTATCTTGCCCAAATATCAGCAGCCACAGCCTGTCTCCAAGTTCTTAGTGGCCACCTGGCCCCAAGGCTGCTTAGACACCAGGCTAGGATTTCTGCACAAGGCCCCCCAGGCTCCACCCCACAGGCTCCCAGGAATGTAGGGGCTCTGAGACCTTGCCCACCCATGTGCACCTCAGTGTCTCCCTTTGGGGCTCTGCTGAGGATCCCCGCCTCTCCGCAGCCCCTCCCAATCACCCAGAGGACAGCAAAAAGTCTAGCATCTACGTCCCTGTCCTGTTGTTCGGTGTGGACAAAGCGCAGTCACACTCTCCATAGCAGTGTTGACTATCCTATTTCCAGTTTAAGATAAGAAAAATGGGAGGAAACAGAAAAGCAGAAGAAATTTTGTCTACTTTTTTCGAGGAACTTAGAATTGAAGATTTGGGATACACTTCCAAAAAAACAGAAAGTTGTGTTCTTCTATATAAATATACTTCCCTTAAGACATTCTCTTCATTCACATTTTTGTTTGTTTTGCGAAAATGGGGATCAAACTCAGGACCTTGCACTTGCAAGGCAGGCATGGTGCCCCTGAGTTAAATCCCCGGCCCTCTTTATTCATAATTTAAAATCACTACATAATCAAGTTTCCAAACACTCCACATTCCTCAGGTAATCACAACCTGGGCTAAGATGAGTGAATCAAACCTATCACTATTCTAGTACAAACAAGAAGTAAACGTCAGCGCATTTCCATAGACCTATGTCCGTGGTTCATTAGTAAAGTGATGAGCTGGAGAGCACGTATATAAGTGTGTGTGAGACACAGACAGACAGACAGAGGACAAGGGACAGAAACAGAGACTCAGAGACAGAAAGCAGCTCTCTTCAGACAGCTACTAGTAATCCAGGTCTTAAAATGAGTCTGATTCATCAATTTCATCTTCACTGGTCTAGAGTTTTTATAAGGAAACAATCAGATCTATGTGAAGAATGCAGAATAGTACACAAGTACAGAAAGAGTAGTAGTGTGAACCTCACTCACCTTAGTATAATTATCTACCCCCGCGCCCCAGTAATTTTAAAGCAGCTTCCTCACACATACTGTAGCCCCATGGGACAAGACACACTCCTGGCCCCGCACAGGTCCCAGCATCGACACAGAGCACAAGGCACACACCAGGCCCTCAGACAGTGGCAGGCAGGGACTGTCACTGTGACACCAGGTAAGAGCGCTCCAGGAAGTGCTAAGCTTTCTTAACAGTGAGTTTCCATTTGCTTAAAACTGTTACTTGGCCGAAGCTATATTAATAACAAAATAAATTTCAGCTAATAAAATTTCTGTGCCTGTATTCTTCTTTCTTCTGAGAAAGTGTTAACTTTAATGTGTAATTTTGTTATTCCTCATAATTTTTTTCCCTCTCATTGAGTTTATTGGTACATTTTAGGTAGACAGTACAGTTACAATCATCATGGGGATCTTGTACCTTTACATGACAACCTTGGTTCTCATTTTTTCCCCTTGCCCCTGTCCTCCCTTCACCCCCTCCTCCCCTCCCCATTTACAAACACTTTATTTCCATTTTTTCACCTTCTCCTATTTTTTTCTTTTCCCTTATTACCTTTCCCCTACCCTTTCCACATAAATTTTCAGTCATGACATCAACACTTCACTATTAAAAATCTGATATGAAGGTCTTTTTCTGACAGAAATAAGAAAAATATTACAGGCCAAGTATGAATGTTAGCCAAAAATATTATTTTTTAATCCAAGTAATGAGGGCAGAGTCAACCTCGTTTTAGTCGGCAGATTAAAAGAAAAGAACTTTCCACGCTTTCCAACAGATTCCACTTGGTACAGATAAGGAGGAGGAACTCTGAATGCGAAAGCGATGTGAGACTGGAGAAGGCGACGGACGAAAGGGAAACAGGCCTAACACAGAAAGAATCAGTGACCAGCACCAACCTTATTGCCGCCCAGACTGTGTGGAGGGATGAGATCTTGCCGGCTTCCAGACAACTGAGGAGAAACAAGCATTAGTTCTCCAGTGTGAGAGAGCGTGCACACAGGGTCTAGGGAGGGCGGGAGGGAGGGAAGGCTGCGAGGACCCACGAGGCAGCAGGGCCGTGAAGGCAGAGGCACAGTGGCCTAGATCTAGGACACAACAACACTGAGCTTTCTACAGCTTGAACATCAGTTTCCAGGGAGGTGACAACAGCTGGCCTTGAAGGCAGCCGTCACTATGAGCCCCTCTTATTGAAGGACACCAACCCTGGGATCCTGTCGTGGCCTGAGCCTTCCTTTGGGTACTGGTAGCAAAGGAAAACTCACAAGCTGTATTTTAAACACTAGGATCCCACATATCAAATCTCTGCAAGTACCAGTATATTTTAATACACCATTTTCTGAAGGAACAGGAAGATCTTGACCTTGAGTTAAAGCGACATTTCTACACATCTGAGAGTGGCTCCAGCTTTCTGGTCTGAGGTCATTAATGCTGTCACCCACAGTGATGTCACTGTGGGTTCTCCAGTGCAGAACCCTCCCTGTGGCCCTCTCAAACTCTACAGCTCGGGACAACTGCACACTTATACTGCGGCTTTTCTTGTTGTGCAGCTAGGACAAAAGTATAATATTTTTTCATATATACATCTGTACCAAAAATGAGGAAAGGAGAAATATATCTAGGCAATATAAGGAAATTTCTTTGTGAAAAATTATTTCCATGCTTAATATGCACATAAATTATATGCATATTTTGGGGGTCTTTTTTTCTTTTGAGATGTAAACCGGAAACAAACTCAGGACGCTGCCCTTGCCAGGCAGGCGGCAGAACCACTAAGCTAAATCCCTGGCCTATATGCATGTTTTGAAAAAATCAACAAACAAGCTCTATTTGGAAACCCTCCCCTGTCCACTCACCCTACCACCCCTGGTGACTGGTCTGTATACCAGCTGCTAGCTGAGATGACTCCTCAACTGAAATGCAATTAATTTCGTCCCAGAGTATGAACTGGCTGGCATGGGGTCCACACACCCTCGGGACAGGAAGGAGGAGGGGCACCTGAGAGGCTCCTTGGGGACAGCTCCCCCAAAGCAACAGCAGGGACAGTGGCAAGGGGCACGGATGTGACGGATGTGACTGTGTGGGGGCAGGGCTCCCAGGTCAGTGCCAGGAGGGAGTGGTCCTGGCCACAGGACTCAGGAGCAGGGTGCAGAGGGGAGAGCAGGGCCGGGCACTCACTCTGTTCACGTTGGGGGAGCTGATGCTCCTCCTATTCAGCTTCGCCTTCCCCGTGAGCTGCTCCTTCACTGCCACTTCCTAGGGATCAGGGAGACGTGTATGAGAGACGCTTCCCAAGCAACACTGTCCAAAGATGACAGCTGTTACTTCACAGGACAGGATACCCAGTTTCAGTAATCAGAGTGAGCAAGCTCACCACAACAACCCTGCGCAGGCCGAGAGTCACATTAACGCCGCCGTGGTGCCACGGACCACACTGACCTGGCGAAGGCGATCCAGCGTCAGGAGGTTTTCCACAGCCAGCACGCTCCTGAGGTACTTCTCGATGTGTGCCTCCGAGTCAGCAGAAGCTGGGTTGTCCACATTAGCTGCCATCCTAGCTAACGCTTCGCGTTCCTCCACCCCCTGGGCATCCTGCAGAACAAATTCTGTGTTCAAATTAAGTACCCTGCCAGAGAAAATGTTTCAGAAGCTTCCGGAGACACACACACACACACACACATGGTACTGAATTGACAAACACGACAGATCCCAAATTTCCATGTTAACATCAATTTTTTGGAATTCAAAATGCATTTTTCCACAGAAATTAGGAAACAGTGATTAGGGTACTGGATTAACTCTGGGGCTGTTTAAACAGAAGATAAATAGCACATTCTTAGCTAAATTGGGCCTTACTTGATTTTCATGGTAAAAACAAGCAAACAGCACACATTACTGATCAGAAAGGGTAAGCCAGAAACAGAACCACCTGACACTAGGACCACAGGATGGGATCACCCCTGAGCCCTGCCAGGAGCAAAAAATGGAAGGGGAGCTGGGCTGCCAGCTACACAAAGGGGAGCCCAACAATGCTGGTCGGAAGCAGACACAGTGGAGACAGAGGGGAAACAGCAAGGTCAGTCATCACTTGGGAGCTGAGAGGGAGCCCCAAATCATGATGTGGGGCCCTCCCAGGGGTCTCCATCCTCAGCCGGGAGCAACAGTGGCCAAAGTGGTGGAGCAAGACAGAAGAGCCCAGGAGAATCCCACTCATGTGCACATGGGTAGAACCCTCGCTGCTCCCCCGACAAGAGCCGGCCACAGGTATAAATGGAAAACCGCCCAGGCAGGGAGGGACTTTACTAAAGCACCTAACTACTTCATGTAAAATGGCTCCATAACAAATTACTCTCCTCGGGGGGAAAAGGAGGTCCTTTATTTACTTGCAATTTCATATGATAATGTCAAAAAGAACAAAATGTACATTCATACGCCACTGCATCTTAAATGCCAGCTGAAAAACAAACATGATTTTATAGACGACTAAAGAAAAAAGACTGCTGATTAATTTCAAGGTACCATCAATTATAGGACATTCATACTTCAAATGTACTTTTTTAAATGTATATTAAGCCTCAGAAGACATAAAATGGGGGGGGGTAGATTTACAAGATGACTTAAATTCACAAAACAAAACACATTAGTCTTCCTTGGAGCCTGGTACTAACCATGACCAGAAGGAATCAAAAGTGACAAGGGGGAAGCATGAAGCCAGCACAGGAGACGAGAGGAGAGTCCACACCTCTGGACTCCCACAGGAGTCACACAGATTATTAGAGACCTACAGTTTCAGTTGGTTTACTCTGCAAACAGCTTAATTTTAAAATATTCAGGAGGCTCCAAAGTAAACAGTTAAATAGTTAATGTTTAGTATATGAGTCTGACTGAAAATTTAGGGAAAAGATTAGTTACTAATTGATCCTACTGGAAAGAAAGTGTCTTACAATATGAGAAATATGAAACAAAGCCTATGTGCTGTGTGATCTACCCACTTCCTTTTCAAAATCTAGCCTCTGTATGAAAACATATATTGTCCACCTTAGTGCTCAAACACTCAGCAGAATCCTGGGTCTGAAATGAGGTTATGATGCAGGGCTGATGGTGTGTGAGCAGGTCCCTGTGACTTCTCCCAGCAGAAAGGAAAGTTCTTCTCTAAAATACTGAAACCAAACGTTAAGGCCACAAGTGTACTGCACCATGAGTTAAGATCAGGGAATTCGCGAAAAAATCAGTATTATTCCCTTAAATATACATTTTCATTCACAATATAGTCCTTGGGTAGGTAACTTTTCAGGGAGTTAGCTCTTTTTAAGTGCTTATTTTTCGTAAATTCAAATCACATATGATCCCTCACCTCTGGGATATTGGAGACAATTTCAAAGGTCACTCCACAGCCAGGAATAGAGCTTCGATGAGACATCTTTTTTAGGAGACTTTGAGCAAAACCCTAGAGAAAACCAAAACAGAAGATGAAGTTTTTCACTTCTCAAACTGAGTTTACATTAACAGGGAAAAAGCAGGAAGGACACTGCAGTCACTCTAACCAGAGACAGCAGGGTATTTCCAACACGAGCAAGGGAACCCTGGCTCACTCTATATGGTGTCCCTCAGTTTTACGGAGCCAACCGGTCAGGTGCCTGCCATGTGTGACAGACGGGTCCCGTCCCTGACACATGGGAAGCACAGATCCAAAGCCTGAATGAAACCTGGCGCCAGGCGTCTGGATAAACTCTGCTTTGATGCTACCGAAAGAAACAAAATGACCTTCTAACTGAGATGGACACAGGGACTGGTGACGCTCAATCTCCCCTCCAGCACAATGGATATCTTGTACCATGAATATTGACAAGTTCGGGCATTAAATTCTTGACCAAAGCAGGATCGTTATGAAGAATGATTTAAGAGTGCCTGGTCATTGTTTATGCTGACTGTGCTCTTTGCACAGTTAGGAATTGAACTGTTGAATTAATGCATAGATGACTCATTTGGATATGCTGCTAAGACTGAACATCCTGTAGAGGTTGAAGAAAACAGCGATGGGGGTGGAATGCAAATGGTGAATAAAGATAAGGGAGAGAGAATAGGAAATGGGTCCGGAGCCTTTTCCCCATGCAGAAGGGAAGGTAGGAACATGCAAAATCTCAAGGAGAAAGAAAAATCAATTCATTTGGTCTTAAAAATACACAATTTCACAAGCCCACCTAATAATAATTTATTTCCTTTCAGTGATATTTTGTTAATTTTTAAAAGGCACGAGCTCCTCAAAATGTAAAGAGAGTGTTTATTTCATCCCTTCACTGCCTAACTCCAGCACTGTGCTGAGCCAGGGTCAGGGACCCTGGTCAGGTGGAGCTATGACAGCTTTACGGGTGGTGGGGTCAGCATGGATGCTGTTATCTTGCTTTCTGTTATCTATTTGCATGGAGTTAGCAATGCAGACTTGCATGAATTAGGATCCTGTGGGAATCCATGTTCTTACTATAAAGCAGCAATTTTTAAAGAATGAAATATCTGAGACTGAGAGAGAAAATGGCAGACTTCAGAATATTTCCAAAGCACTTCAAGCACGATGAAATGTGGCAACTTGTCCCTATGATTAAAATAAATCAACAATGGGACTGTGGTCACCCCACCATGTGTTCCCCCTGTGGTGTCCCCCTGTAGAGAACAGTGCAGGCTAGAGGCTGTGACAGGCAGGGCTCAGGGCCTGGCAACCAGGACGGCTGATTCAGAAATGGAAATTCTTTTCGGATGCTCCCCAAGAGTGGTGTGTCCCTTTCAATCCCATCCAGACTTACAAGAAAAGGGAAAGAGCAAAAGTAAATGGGAGACACACTATGTACAGCTATACCTAAACCTATGACCTGAGTTTTATTGATGTTGGACCAGCAAACTAAAGAGCTGCAATTTTAACAGCATTACCGCCAGTCTTTGTTTCTAAGATTGATATTAGTGTGACATTTAGAACTAAAGATTAATTTTTAGGGGTGGAGATTACATCTAGGAGTCTGTCAACCACGACTGTGCTCTTTCAAATGAAAAGATTTATTTTTCATCTGTCCTTGGTTTAGTATTAAGAATGCCTCAGGGCCGGGGGTTTAGCTCAGTGGCACCAGGCAAACGCAAAGTCCTGAGTTCGATCCCCAGTACTTAAAAAAAGGAAGAAAAAGAAAAAAAAAACAAAACAAAAAAACACATCTTCAAGAATGCCTCATGAAAGGGAGGTTAAGGCAGTTAATTAACTAGGATGCCCCAAATCAACTTCTCAAATCAATACACTTACACTTACAGAACCAGGAACAGTGGGAGTTTACATTCTTACCTAAGTATTTCCTATTAAACCCTTTCACACGGCACAAGGGCCTGCACAATCCAACCACAACTGCATGAAGGGCCCCAGTCCTTGGTATCGCTGTCTATGTTGACCACTGTGCCCCCCGTGCTCCCCAGTCCGCCCACTCTCCTCCTCCCCCCCATCTCTGCATGCGTATCTCCTCCTCTCCCTGTCCAACACTGCTCTGTACAGTGTCTGCTCAGACGCTACCACCTGCTACGAACACTGTGTCCTTCTCCCACAGCACCAACGTGAGCCTGCTGCCCTGACAGCAGAGTCCCCACATATGCAAAAGGACCCTGGCTATTTAAAGACCAGGCTGCTTCCGGTGGTTTTTATCCCAAAGCCAAGCAGATGAACCAAAGACTTTGAGGACTGAAAGCTCTGGGTAGAGAAAGGTAAGTAGCACCCCCTCACTGATGACGTAACAGCTATCTGCCAAGAACATTCTTCTCATCTTGCAGGACCCTGGAAAAAAGGCAACAATGACACTACTGAGTTTGTCGGAGCCAAAAGAATGGGTGTAATTCATGAATCTGCTCTAGGAGAGTCACTGTAACAGCTCGGTCCTGTCTAGGAGGAAGGAAGGATGACACATTCAGTGACAGCACAGTAACAGTCTCTGGTAAGCAGAGCTCTGTGCTCTAGAGCCTGGGTTTGCCCAGAGGTCGGACCCATGGTTAAAGTCACGGCCCAACTGAGGGTCACAGCCTCACCTGGCGGCTATGAACATGGACGCAGATCCTTTTGCGCAAGACCAGCTGCATGTCGGCAGGGTGGCTGAGCTGCGCTGTCACACGCACGATCAGGAACACGCGCTCATCGGCTGGTGTGCCTTTACTGAGCTGCAGGCAGCTGTGCACCGCCGAGTCCCAGGAGGCCTCTGCTTTTGCCTGTGGATGGGACGGAAGAAAGCACTTTGCCCTCCTCTCCCAAGCACCAAACTGCTCGTCAGGGACGCACCTTGACGAGGGCTGGAGTTCTCTTCTACCAGCATGCAAGGCGAGCCTGTGGCCTCAACTACCTCAGTCTGAGCAGTACAGAGCATGGTACTCTCCTGGATGGCTTGAGTGCTTTCATTTTTGGTTTTGGTTATTTTTTGGTACCAAAAGTCGCAAAAATTCAGTGTAGTGGACTCCAGTGTACTTTTCACTAAGACCCTACATTAATTTTTGCCACTTTTGCTTCTCTCTTTTTCTTGCCACACACACACAATTTTTGCTGAACTATTTTCAGGTAAGTTGGAGAGATGACTGTCATGTTCAGGAAATTTGACATCAACCCAATGCTATCATTTATCAGAGTCCTCATTTAAATTTTTCTGTGTTTCCAGCCCAGGACCACAAACTGCACTGAGCTGCCACATCTCTTCAACCTCACACGCTTACGGAGCCTTCCCTGTCACACGTGGGAACCCGTAGGGGTGGCACAGGACTCGTGGCAGCGTTTCCTCGTGTTAGATGCAGGTTCTGCATCCTCAAAACACCACTTGGAGATGAGGTGCCATCAGAGCAGCACAGCCACTTTCCCTCTCCACTTCATTGCACCACTTTTTGAGCATATTCGAATCAAGAGAATAAATGCCCTAGATTTACCCAGCACACAGTTTCATCCATTAAAAAATCAAGATGTTGCCATTTGTCCAAACTCTATGCTTTTTCTCCTTTTTTAAGACGTCTTTACAAAGTATTTCAAGGCAAATCTCAAACATGGAGCCATCCCCGTGCTTCCGGGGGCCTCCTTCCACCCATCGGGGTGGGACAAAGCAGAGCTCCTGAGCACGCTGGCCGGTAGCAGCCAGGTTGACTGAGGTCCTCTGGGAGCAGGGAGGCGCAGGCAGATGGGCAGAACGTGACATTCGAGCTCTGCTCTTTCTGGAAATCATAATGAAAGGTTTTTGTGTATATGCATGAAGAAACACTGGCACTGGAATGATTATCCTGCTGCCTCCAAGGACTTCTGGAAAGGCCAAAGAAACTTCCTGTCATCGGAGCCTCGTAAGCTCTGCTTGACTTACCTCCCCATCATGATGCTTCACAACCTGCAGCTCAAAGAACTCTTCCTCCTCTTCCCCAGTCAGGGTAGCATCCCATCCACCAGCTTCTGGGTCATCAAGGTTATCCTGAGAGCTGAAATCATCAGCTGAGAGCAAAGAGCTTCCATTAAATACAGAGATTCCTTCCAAGGATAACTCCTACCAGCTCAATTTCACTGTGCATATTATCAAAATTCTTCCGCTTCAAATTTCATTTGCTTTTGCTCTGCAATCTCACATGGTACCGATGATGACCATTTAACAGTTCACAGATCTTAAGAGATACGAAGTGCCTCAAGAAATTATCTTAGCCAAGCTGTTCCCTTTATGCTTTATTTTATACGGAAGGTAAATGAAGCCAAGATACATAAGTGGTTACTCAGGGTCTGCTCATAAATGTTAATGATGGGATTACAACCCAAGTTCCCCACCTTTTAGTGCGCTGAAGAAATAAGCAAGAGTGATTCCAGTTACCTACTAAGTTCAACAAAAAGACTGATCGGCCACAAGTCAGAAATGGGCAGCCCTGACTAGAAACTGCAGTACAGCCCTGTGGCTATGTGGTCCGAAGCCCGGCCCATCCACCCCTCCCATCCATCTTAAGCTTGTCATAGGCAACAGAAGTAAGGGGGCATGGGTGGATCGTGATTGTGTGTAGTGCTCAACAGGGTCCTAATTGCCTCTTTGAATTCTCAGGTCTTCCTTAGGCACATTTTGCCCACTTTTTTTATGCACCACCCCTCTCCTCGCCTATCTAGGAAGCCTAACATAAGAACAGGCTAGAGTCACCCCCATCTCCGAGGCTCACAAAGAAGAAGCGGGACTGAGTTCTCCAACCATACCTAAAAAGCCAAACCTCCCAGCTGGCCAGGCGGCTAGACAGACAGTGGGAAAGGCCCCACCTTACTCTCTAACTCTGCCCTCTTCATGAGCTCGGGGACATGTGAGGCTACCCCTCTCAGCTTCACAGCTCGATTCCCAACCAGGGGAAGAGCCTGCTGAGAACACCACACTTATCTATTCAGGGGCATTCATTCTGATACACAGTCCTTCAACAGAAGTTTCAGGAACTTCACTGCTGGCATTCAACTAACTTAGATCCCTAACCACATTTTCATTTGCTATTTCTCTCCTACGTGGAGAGTACATGGGGATGTCAAGAAAGTAAGTTATTTTCCAAAAAATAGGCAGTGTAGGCATGAATGCACAAGAAAGAAAAAGTGAGAAATGTATTAAATAAATGCTAAGAAAATGTGCTACGTGGTATCACCAGTTAGTCCTTTCTAGAGCAGTCTTTCCCTAAGGATTAAGGAAGAAAATATTTTAGTGTAGAAAACACCTGTACCATCCGCAACTGTAGGGAACAAAGCATGCACACGGCCCTGGGGGCTGGAGCAGGGCAATGGCAGAGAGCAAGGCAATGACTATAGACGATGACTTCTAAACCACCCAGGCTCAGTGGTGTGGGTGCTCACAAAGCTGCTGTCACCTTGGCATGACAGAGCGCCTGACACAGCTGGTCACCGTCTAAGTGCTACCGGGCCCTAATCCGTCAGGTGAGCCTTTGAAACCTCCTCTAACTCACCATTTAAGTCGAGGAATATAACAGGAATGTGGGTTTCCATCCCAGGCACTGGGGTCCTGAAACATGAAGGACAGGTGACCCCTCAGACACAGCAGATCCTTGCACTTCCAACCCTGGGATACACCCCGGATGCCCTCAGGGCTGCTACAGGTCCTGACGGTTTCCCTCTGAGTAACAGGAGAGATGACCTGAGACTGAACGGTGACTACTGCCCCATGTGCCTGACACCGAACCTAGCCTCAGCAGACCCATTTCCAATTCAGAGTGAAGCCCTGACCCAACTCACTTTCTTGGTAAAAGATATACTTCTGGGAGCCATGTGGTTTGACTTACTATTTCTGATTTCTCTGAAGTGGCATGAAACATTTGCTGACAGACAAGTTTAAGCCAGTACCAAAACCAAAAATTGACAGGGATGTGCTTCTCTTACAGCTGAGCATTCTTGTAAGGGAATGAACGAACCCACTAATTATCATACGAACTATTTTTAAGGCCAAATTCAGTGCTACTAAATATTGATTTCAGTTCTCAGAAAGCTTACTTTGGCCAATAAAAATATTATTTAATAGAACAGTTTTAGATTATAGTTATTCAACTCATGAGAATAATTTAACAGTTCCTTAAATTCAAACAACTCCGTCCTTGCATGTTATTCTAAATCTTCCACTAACTGCAGCACACAAAACCTCAAGTGGGAAGTGAGGGCCCAGTAAGCGCTCTGCCCTGCGCTGTGCATCCTACCATTCCGCGGGGGCACCAGGGATGCCGCTGCCTGCAGAGGGGACCATCCCAGCGTTCCTCTCCTCTGTCAGGGTCAGCCGCATCTCCAGGAGCTGTGCCTCTCGGTCAACATCGTCCTCCGATTTATCTAGAAAATCAGAAGTGCATGTGCGACCCGGAAGCCTGCCCACCTCATAAAGGACTGGATCCCTGCTATCTCGGCTCCTGCGTAGTGACAAGAAAGGTCTGAGGCCAAGGCGGTGGCAGTACAAGTACTGGTCTGGCCAGACTCAGTGTTCACAACCCTCGCAGAGGCCACATCAGCACCTTCTACAGGTGTCCTGAGGGCAGTATTAGCTTTACTCATATTCTCTCCCTTTACTGCGGGTTGGAGGCTACATTAAAACATTCTGATAGGGTAAATTTTCTCTGGGAAGGCCTGCCAAGCCCACTACTGACACATCCATCTGGCTCTTCACTTATTTGGCCCAAATGGGGTCGGCTGCACCCTGACTAGGGGAGGAGGGAGCAGTGCAACCTGCTCCTCCTACCAGGTTTGCTGACAAGCTTCTGCAGCTGCTGATCCAAGTATTCCTGACGTTTTGTTAATGCATTTAGCCATTTTCTACGTAGTCTCTCTAAATCCCGGTCCTAGAAGAAAATAAGGGAAATCATATACTGTCAGGATGGTACATCCGAAAATGATGCTCTACCTTATCTTCTAATATGATTTAAAAACCTAAGTATTACACAATCATTTTCTTACTAGCACTGCCAGGTGACTCTACCATAATTCAGAACAGAAACACTCAGAAGTTAAAGCACTACTTTCTAGAGTGGCAATGGTTTTCAAAGAATGTTTTCAGGTACTCGGCCATTTCTAGCAGCTCGGGGGTAGAACTGCAAGCACTAACAATGAAGATCTTCTATCTATTCTCTCTGCTGGGTGGAGCTCACAAGCCACGATCAACAGTCTTTCAATTTGTACACCTCAGAACCACCAGAAGAACCTTTCAGAGCTCATAAGTACTGCCTCTTATGTGGCCCATTAGGCTCCTGAAGACAACAACACGTCAATACTTCTCTTGTTCTTGGTGTATTCTGGGGGACTGGGGATGACAACAAGAGGACGGCTTATTATCAACACACTAACGACTCTACCAGTCAACACCTGCAAGCAGGCTGGTCTTCCCTCCCTCCCTTCCGTAATGAGGTTACGAGGCTGGGTAGGTCAGAGGAACGCTGCAGATGTCGAGTGTCTGGATTTCACTAGGGCACTTAACCAAACAGCCTATGACATTCTTGTGGAGGAGACGGAGGAACGTGCAATGCGCCCACTTGAGTGAAATCACAGAGGACTCAATACCACATCCAGAGAGCAGTGATTAATGGAATAATGTCAGCTTGAAAGGAGTCTCTATTGTTGTACCACAGGACTCTGCATCTAACCCCACCTGATACAATGTCTTTATCAGTGACTTGTAGGAAGGCAGACACTTCTATCAAATTACAGTGATGCAAAACCAGGAGCGTGACTACAATGGATGACATAATCAGGCTCCAAAGAGCTCAGACAGTCTTAAATGATGACTAACAAGCTCAAACTTCAGACATAAACAAAATCTGGCAGATTCAGGGGGAAAAAAAGAAAGGGAAAAATTAAAACCACAAAAATCCTGGATAACTCCAGAAAATGGGCACTCAGGGGGGAGCTGGCTTCACATATGGAAAGCAACTAGGGTTTGACCCATGCTCAGGGTGAGGTAGCTGAACCCAGGCCTGGATGGGCGCCTCCACTCAAGGGTAAGCAGCTGGGAAGCGGCAGGGAGCCCAGGTGAAAAGGACACCCACCATGGAGGTGTCCTACCCTAACACATCTTCCATCATGGCCTGGGAAACAATACACAATGTTCTCTATTCTGATTTACTTTACGAAAAAGTAGTATTTGAATCAAAATTGTTTAATTATTAAGTAACAGTACAGCAAGATCCTGGAATGTGTAATTACGTACTTTAATCAAGTTGATTTGATGAGACTAACAGGTGCTCAATTACCTGGTAGCTGTCCATATCCTCCTCTTCCTCCTAAAGAAAAGATTACATCATGTCGAATCAAAATAATTACTTATCCAATAATCAGGCCATGCTATACAATCTGAATCTGTCCTCCAGAGTTTACATGCCTAATTTAATTAAGATAGTAAGTCCCCTCCCACTTTCCCTCCTGCCTGCCCCCACACTCTTGAGCTTTCCCAGTCATCAGGAAGTTGTGCAAAACCCTGAGCTTCTCAGGGGAAAGTGAAGAGCACTGTCTGACCTTTTCTGGAGCCGGTACAATGCTCTCCCTGCTGGGCTTATAGTCCCACTCACCAGGGGAAATCAGACACCTGCTGGCAAACAGTCTTTACAAACCGGTGGGGGGTTTCTGCAGAAGGGTGGGTGGTGCTGGGAAGTAATCACTCCTAGACAGGGAGTTTGCGGAGGCGGAAAAGCTTTAACCCTCTGCCTGCTGGTGTGGAGCAAAGCCAGTAAGTCTGGTGCACTGATTCCACACAAATGCCCTGCACTAAAAATGGTATCTAAGGCAAACACAGAAATACTGAAAGAACTGGTCATAGAAAACAGTGTTCTGACAGGTTCTAAAGGACTCTCCAGTCTGGCACTGTCTTTCAACAGGCATGAAAGAGTCCTAGAAACTTACGTGGAAGGTCTCCTGTGTCTTGGGGGACCTCAGGGGCCTCACTTTCACACACCCAATGCCAACAGACAGGATGCATTCTTCAATTAGTGGCAAAGTCCCCGATTCCTGTACAGACTTCACTTCGACTTGAATACGCCGGGACTGCCCCTGGAACCAAGAGTCCTAAAAATCAGTTTCTGGATTTCTAAAAATTTGGTTGAGAGAGACCCCTACAGGTTCATATTGAGAAAAACATCTAACTCTGGAGACATCTATCTTACAAATGTTAATACTAAAATATAAATTCCAAAGTAGTCAGGAAAACAAACAGAAAGACACAGAATAAAGGGTTTATATATTTCTTCAATGAAAAGAAATATGAAAACACTCTAACATAGGAAATGCAAACAGCTGAGTAATAAAAAATGTTTGATTTACTGATAATCAAATACATGCAAATTAAACTAAGTATAATACATCTTTATTTTCATTTGCTAAACTGGCAATTATATTTGAAAGGGGAAATTTCCAATATTATCCAAGTATTATGAAACAGGCAATTTTATGCACTGTAGAGCAGGAATTTCAATTAGTATAAGCTCTCTGCAGGGCAATATAACCTAAAAATGTAAGTATCCTTCATCCCAGCAATTCAACTTTCTAGGGATATTGTTTATTTATACATAAATAAAACATATGCATGTAAAGAATCTAAAAACACTGTGAAGAATAAATTAGATACAAGTGAAATATTTAATACTGATAAGTTTAAATAAATTGTGGCATATATTATGAAACATTATGCAGTTATTAAAATCATTCTGTAGAGAAACATACATAACATTAAAGAGCAGATTTTCAGAGTCAGTAAAGTGAGATCTACTTTTAAAACATAAGCAATTCAAGTTAGAAATAAAGGCTAATACTGTTTTGGATTAAAAATAATTTTAAGCTGCAAAATGAACTGACCAGAAAAAAAGCTGTTTCTGCTTAAGCATGTTTTCATAGTAAATCTTGTATGGCTGTGTATGTACAAATAAAGGAACATTATAAATAAGATTCCCCAGTAATCCTAAATTACTGGCCTCAAACTTGTTTTATAAATTTTAGGAAGAGAAAACAGCATTTCAAAAACAGAATTTGAATGTACAACTTCAAGCCAATTGCTCTTCCTTCTTCCTGCAGAGTTTAGCTCCCAAGAGCCCTGCATGATCAGGACAATCTATTTAGGCGGCACTGACCTTATCAAGCTGCATTTCAATGGATGGGACACAGATGTCTTTTTATTTAATATTTCCCAAGAACCATGCATCAGAGACTTTGTGAAAAAAGCCCCTCAGAAAAAAATTTATTATTCCAATTGGCTACCTTTATTTTGCTTAAGCCAAAAGATGACTTACTGTGAAGGTGTGAAGGGTAAAATATGCAGTGAGGTTTGGGATATGGAGAGGGACAAAAAGGAAAGCAAGGGTTGGCAGTGGATTTCCGTTTCATAGAAAAGCTTTGAAAAGTCTACTTCAGCTACTGCACTGAACTTCTTGTGACTGCCAATATTTTACCATTTGCTACCTTCAGCGATTCCACACGATTAAGCCTAATCAGCTGTCCTCTACCACGCACATGTTCGAAAACAAAATGTCCCAATTTTCAAACACTAGACTCAGGTGAGCCTAGCATTCAAGGCTCTCTCAACTCACTGCCGTGCAAGGTTTTTTGACAGCATCTTCCTACTTCCCAGCTCCTTCTGCATGACTCTATACCCAGGGACCCAATTCCAGCTGCAGGGTCTTTATCCTTGTCATCTGCAATGGTTTGTGTGTAGATGTCCCCCAAAGCCGCATGCAGATGAAGCAGGACTCTTTTTCAGAGGTACTGCAATCTGGAATGTGTGATGCTGCATTGAGGAGCGTGTGATTACTAAACCACTACACGTGAGTGGCAGGTATGGGACCACCCTCATCCGGGGGTCTCGATGGGATAAAAGAGACATAAAGACACGATGAAGGTCTCCCTTTTTGCCTTTGCTATCTTGTGCACTAAATTATTTCTCCTCTGTGATGTCTGTTGGCCATCCCTGCCTTGGAGCCAGCCGATTATGAACTGAAACCTCAACAAACTGTGAGCCAAATAAACCTTTTCCCTTTTTGAGTGCCAGGTATTTTGTCTCAGCAATGAGAAAAAAGTAACTCACACACCATCCGTACAGGAAAAACCTATCCAAACTTTGCATAATTTTTCCAGCATCCTAATAAAGATACACATCCTTCAAAAAGGCTTTTCCTTACAAACCCAAGAACTTAAACTAAGAATGGACTTGGCCAGTCTTACACAGATATCATTACACCAACACTTGTGTTAAAAAAAGAATCCAGGGCTGAGATTTAGCTCAGTGGTATCACGGCCTGCCTTACAGGTGCAAGGTCCTGAGTTTGATCCCCGGTACCAAAAAAATTAAATTAAATTAAATAAATAAAGAATCCAAGTAGTAAGGGGTGGGGGAGTAGATCAGTGGTAGAGCACTTTGAGTGCCAAAGATTTTAATATGAACACTAACAATCTCGTTACCTGCCGGAGTTGGAAGACACCTCCTGTTGGGACATCCTTTGCAGGAATCACTTCTACAGGGCAGTATTCACCATTCTCATTCTGTTCCAAGATCTGAACCCAGAATTCCAACTTTCTAGTAACTTCACTCCACCTAGGAAATAGTTGTAGTGCTTGGAAAATCATACATTTCTGTTTTGATGCAGGCATCTTAGGGTCCTACTTATGAAACTTAGCAATGAAAATGACCTCCAAACAGAGTAACGTAGAGAATGGGCTGGCAAACAATGAAAAACAAAGTTAAACTAACTTAATATCAGAACTAGAGATGGCTTCTTTTATTTTGTTCAAAAAGATACGACAATGACAAATCTATTTCAGAGTGGTTACTCAAAACGTGGAACATTCTCATCAGACGTACAGAATCGAGTGCAGGGATTATCTTCCTGTAGACCGAGAGGGAGTGCCATACACACTTCAGAGACTTGACAAACATCTTTTCTCAGGCCAGTAAGAGAATCCAGATAAAAATCTCACCTCCTAATTTAGGATTTGCTAAAAACTTTCTAAATGCAGAAAAAGAAAAAGAAAATCTGGTCCTTGTCTATAATTAGATGAAAGCAGAAACATCTATTTCGGTCATTCCCTTTTAAGTCAACAAACCAGCCTACCTCTCCTTCCATCACTGACACCCTCACGAAGAACTGCAAGCTACAAGCAGGTGAATATAAATGCAACCAAGATCTTCATTCACCTTTCTCCCCGGACCTTTTGGTCACACTGGGATTACATCCAGGGCCTTCACACTGAGATACAACTCTACCCCCCTTTAATTATTATTTTTATTTTTGAGACAGTGTCTTGCTAAACTAACGAGGCTCAGCTCAAATTTGTGATCTTCCTCTTCAGCCTCCCAGAGTGCTGGGATTACAGGCATGCACCCCACTGCCCCGCCTACTTCTTCTTAAACAGCCACACACTTCACTTCCTGCCAATACTTTCTAAGTCCAGTCTCCTAAGGAGGTTTGAGATTAATACCCTGGAGACATCATCTATTCCTGAGACCAGGCATTCCTTAGGAAATAGGAATCTTTACTTAAAAATGGCAGTAGAAATGTGTAGCGATTATTTAAAAATTATAAATGTAATTCAATGGTATCTAAAACTTACCTGTCCCGCAGACTCCGTGTTTTTGCTTGGATGATTCCCAAATCCCACAGGGCTGGGTTTTTCCGAGGATCATTCATCCTATGACCATATACTTCAATTGCCAAGGCTCCTTCTGAAAGGTGCTCAATAAAGTCTTCAGTGATGTTAACAGAAAACTCCTGAAAACCCAACAGTTGATTACAAAATAGCAAACACTTTCTGGTAATTGTATGATTACTTACACCCAATATCATGTGCTTAATTTTGTCAGGGAGGAGAGAAATTGAGAACAGAATGTTTCTGTTACAGAACAGAGCTGTCATCCAAAACCCACACGGAATGCTCAGATGGCCTGAGGTTCTTCTTCCCTTTAAAGATACAGTGGTGCTTTGGTTCACGAACTTAGTTCTTTCCATGATTCTGGTCACAAACCAAACTGGATAAAAACCAAAGCAAATTTCCCCATAAGGTCAACATTGAGCCGAACCACTGAATTTGATTCAGTTCTCATCCAGTTTAGTTTGCAGCCAGAATTGTGGGAAGAATTGTTCGTGAAACGAGGTACCACAGTAACTCTACCAACTTTAAACTTTTCACTTTGAAAGTGTACTATGTAAGACCAGCATTGTAGTCTATTTTGTTGGCAACATTTTGGGAGCTCTTTTTAAACGTATAACTTAAGTATTTCTATAATGGCATATGTCTTGTACATGTAATAAGGTAACAGCAGTATGCTGCAGAAATGATTATTTCTAAGATGTTAACTATCTCTCAGGAGAGAAAGGGGATAACATTAGTGTGAAAAATCACCTAATTAAAAAAATTTCTCCCCATCTGTGTATCTTTAGAAGATAGCATTTTACATTAGGATTCTATTTTACTAACGAAATCATGGAATTTCCCATCTCTAATGGTATCTCCCTTCACCATCTCTATCTTTAATGTACTAAAAATATTTCTCTGTTTTAAACAAATGAGAAAGAAATATCGCTCTTAAAAACATAGTGAGATAGATCAAATGTGGTATAGCAGCAAAAAAGATTCTGGAACATACCAGTGAAGGCTCAGTTGGTTATTAGGTACAGGGAAAGTTGGCAGTAACTAAGCAAACTGACCTCAATGAATGTTTCCTCCAGCTGATAAAAGCACCATCATTAAATATAAATGGAAACAATAACAAAGTGCTAGGTACAGTAATATCTTTTCCCTTTTTTGGGGGGGGGGTTGAGACAGGGTCTCACTATGTAGTTGAGTCTGACCTGGAATTCACTATGTAGCCCAGGCTGTCTCAAACTTCCAGCGATCCTCCTGCCTCAGCCTCCCGAGTGCTGGGATTACAGGCGTGCGCCACCACGCCGGGCTGTCTTTTCCCTTAATTTTAACACAAGTTACTTTTGATTATGGATGAATTAAATTTACTGACACTTTAGTTTTTTATTCCATCTCCACCCTAAGAAACTCTGCTCCAGACATATACTGGCACAATTATTCAAAGAAATAACTGTTATTTTTGGTTTCACTTACACATGAGAAGTTTACACATTGACCTGGACTAGAAAACAAACTCACGCTGCAGTGATCAAAGACAACCATGCAGTGAGGTTCCTTGCTGATGGGCGAGGAGGAAGATGTGTCCACTTCCGGTGCCACAATCACTGGCTCCTGCTGATCCCAGAAGTTGTATTTGCAGAACACAAAGTGGGACAGATGCTGGGGCAGCCCTGTGGCTTGGAGTATTTTAACCTGAAAGGAAAAAGAAAGCTCTGTGTTGAATTAGAAAGTTCCGAGGAGTCCTTTGCACAGAGATGGGGCTTCCTGTCCTGCCTACAGCACTAAGTGTTGGCTTATGGTGGCCACATCCCTTTCACTGTAGTACTGTATTCCTACATCTGAAATGGTGACCAGGACTCTGCTATTCAGAGAGAGCCCTGATACAGGGTGACAATGACGTGATAATGAAGGTGATGGTGTAAAACACTTAGAGGCTGAGAAAGTGCATTTAAATTCTAGTATCTTCAAACATAATAACGATATCATCATCATCATCATTTCAGAAGAACTTTTTTTTTTTTTTTTTTTGGTACTGGGGACTGAACTCGGGTCCTTGCGCTTGCAAGGCTGGCCACCGAACCGCTGAGCTAAATCCCCAGCCTAGAAGAACATTCTTAAACATCAATATCATTCAACAGTATGAATGTGGCTAATGTGGGTAAGTCCTAAGAAGAAAACTGTTAAGTATAATAAAAGAAGAACAAAATCAGTATATGTGCCATGCAGCAACAAATATTCAGGAAAGGGCAAAGCATTTATTTACTATTTTAAAGTAGGAATAGGAGCTGGGTATGGTGGTGCACACCTGTAAATGCTGGCACCCAGGAGGATGAGGACTGCAACTTCCAGGCCAGTCAGGGATACAGTGATACCCTTTCTCAGGAAAACAACAACAAAAAAACCAGGAGCATAAAGAGGAGTGAGGTTCTCACACAAACTGTTGCATGCTGCAGCATTTTCCAGAGAACCCTGAAGGCACTGTGAATGTGCAAGTGGAGGGTGTGCGGGTGTTGTGCCCAAGTCGCGAAGTCCCCAAAGACCACCAAGGAGTCAGGTCCAATGCAATTGCAAGAGGAGTTTATTGCAAGCTCGAGCCTGGACTCTCAGGTGTCACCGTCACAGCGGCTTCAGACCGAGAGCCCAAATCCAACTTTGAACCAAGTTTATATAGGATTTTTCTGTTACTATTTTTAGTTTTCCCTTATCATAAAGGGGCATCGGGAGGGCACATTGGAACATGACCTCATGCTTACATTTGCAAAATTATCATGGGGTACTGGGAGGGTACGTATTGGAAAGTTACCTAAGGCCTTTAGAGAATTAATTCCTCTTTTCATTAGACAATTAATTCCTCTTTTCTGACTTTTGCTAACTAAGATATATAACTATATCCATTATAATTAATTCCTATATTGATTAGATCACACAAAAAGAAGATTGTCTTAACATTTTAAAAAGAGGAACAGAAGCAGGGTGGAGGTGCCCTAAAAGAGGAACTGTAATTGTCAAAGCACAGAGAAACTGCCATATAGAATGGAATTTTTCAGAAAGGAACTTTTGCATTTACTCTATTCTCGGTAAGGGGTTTGGAGCCCATCGTGACCTGGAAACTTGGTCCTCACACGGGGAGACCAGGGGGAAGTTGTTATGTCTTAGCTCCTGCTGTGCCAGACTGAGGCTCCTGAGACCCTGTGCCAAAGTGAAAGGCTCACCCTTTCAAGATGCAGGTGTCAGGCATTTTGTCCCAGCAACAAGGGAAGTAACTAAGACAGAAGTGAAAGTGGCAAAGTTTACTATCCTCTGCTCCAACATTTACTCAACACCTTCCCTATGCAGACTGAGCGGAGAAAGGCATCAGAGGAAGCATGTTCTGGACTGGAGGACTGGAGATTTCTGAGATAACAAAGTGCAGTGGAATATGTGCTAAATCAATGAATGACTAAATAAATAAAATAGTACTTAAGATTATCTTTGGGCCATGGGCATAAAGTACATATGAAACATAAAGGAATCTTGTGCACAGATTTGGGTCCCATCCCAAGATAACACAGCACATCATAAATATATATATATATATATATTTATATTTATATATGGGGGGTACCAGGGATCGAACTTGGGACCTTGTGCTTGTGAGGAAGGTGACAGAACCACTGAGCTAAATCCCTGAACCCCGTAATACATTTTAAAGCAAGCAAATATTAAGATTTCTTTTTATGGCAGCATTGAGCTGTTTGCTTGCTTTTTAATCTTTTTCTGTTGCTTGTACTGGGGATTATATTTATATTTATATATGGGGGGTACCAGGGATCGAACTTGGGACCTTGTGCTTGTGAGGAAGGTGACAGAACCACTGAGCTAAATCCCTGAACCCCGTAATACATTTTAAAGCAAGCAAATATTAAGATTTCTTTTTATGGCAGCATTGAGCTGTTTGCTTGCTTTTTAATCTTTTTCTGTTGCTTGTACTGGGGATTGAACCAGGACTTTGCACTGAGGTACATCCCCAAGCCTTTTTAATTGTTTGTTTGTTTTTGTTCTAAGATACAGGTTCTCACTAAGGTGCCAGGTTGAGCTCATACTTAGGATCAATCCTCCTGCCTCAGCTTCCCAAGTGACTGAGATTACAGGCATGTGCCACCACGCTCAGCTTTGGGCCAATTTCTAGTTGCTAGTTTTTGTGGTGAGTTATAATGGTCTAAAATTCTCCAACTGTGAAGGAAACTAAACCCCAAAGTTAATTAAGCTAAACTAAATTCTGATCTTATAACTAAGCTAATTTTCATGATTTAGCATTAGTCATAATACAATATATTCTCCACCTGGCCACTTTATGCTTGTTGTATGATTCATTCTATATCTAGTAAATAAATTTAATGAAAATAAAGTTGAAAACGTGGCATAAGTTCACACACAGGCACCGCAAATATAGCCTTACCATTTCAGGAAGTATTAATGAGGACACAGCAAATCACACCAAGCATATTTCCTCCACACCGGGCACAAACTGGGTCACCTACACAGAGGAACTCTGTACAGTTCACTTTTTCCTGTGATGCCAGTAAGTCTGAAACATCTGGAGAGCAATTCCCTGACATATAAAAGACATTGGCTGACATATTTTATTCCTCCAAATCAAAGTGAACAGTCAATATTCTGCAATTAACTTTCCATGAAATGCCTAAAAAGCCATCATTTTTCACTTTAAAATGTTTACTATAGCCTTAAGGTGAGACAACATGGTATGTGGAAAGATTCCAAGATTTTTGTGTTACATGGATCTAAACAAAAATATCTGGCACTTCTTAGCTTATGTGCTGGTACAAATAACTGAAATTCTTACTTTTCTTGGGCTTAGCTTTCTCCTAGGAGAAACAGGAATATTAAGAGCTACCCTACTACATTGGGTCTGACTGACCACACAATGAAAAGAAAGAAATTGAGTGGAAGCAGGACCAGGAATTCAGTCGATGTTCAATACACATCCCTGTGACTGAATTCCACCTGGAAGCCACTTTTCCTATTGAAATTAATCTCAATTTTAAGGTTGAAATAAATAAAATATCAGAAAGGAAAAATATTCAGATTTTCAGAGTATGGGTTGCTTAGGTTTTTCTAAATTTCTGTGTACAAAAATGAAAACCACCACAAGGTGTCAGAGCACCACAGACTTCAACTTGCAAGGCAGGACCCAAGAGCTAACAGCAGGCATGAATGTTTTCTGGGACCTGTAAATGGACTGATTCTGCTTAATGTCAGTGAAAATATTCATACATGCATATTTTTATATGAAAAAAATCCAGGCTTCTTTTACTGGTCAGTGACTCATCACCCATGATATCTCAACTGTCTCCCAGCTGGTTTCCCTCACTGTTCCACCAATACTGTTGGCCATCACAGAGTTTGTTTACCCTTGTCCTTTTTACACAGAAGGCTGCTTACATGGGCGAGCACAGTGTCTAAAACATGCTTCCCTTTGAGAGCAATCGCCTCCTCGAAGAAACAGCTGATTCTGGGTCTGGGATGGGAAATGCACAGGATAAGACCAGAATATCCACCAGGAAGGTTGTTATTTCAGATTCACTACTTTTTTCAGTGATAAAAAAGGGAAGAGGGGGAAAAAGGGAGGGATAGAGGGAGAGGAGGAGAGACTGCCGGAGTGGCTCCGAGAGTCACATTTACTAGTGCATCACCTTTCATGGGCCCCGTGGAGCCATGGTGCCCGAGTGTCCCTCTCCATCATCACACATTAACATCTCAAGGGAGCTTCTAAACTAGCACAATGCAACGAAGATGAACTTAGTGAGTTAGATTTCCCCCTCATGCTGAACTCACTGAAGTCCCACAGCAGGCAGAGACGGGTGGAAAGGAGCCCAGCTCTACCAGCAGTAGTGGCCCTACTCTTCAACTAATGCAACTGACTCCTTCCAGCCTCGGCTTCCACTCCGCAAAGATGCACTGAGCTCAGAACCGGGCTGGACCTAAGGTAACTTGAGGCTTCCGTCATTTGCGTTTCAGGGGCCTCCTTTCAATAGCTCAAGCAGGGGCCGGGGATTTAGCTCAGCGGCTCAGTGGCCTGCCTTGCAAGTGCAAAGATGCAAGTTCAATCCCCGGTACCAAAAAAAAAAAAAAAAAAAAAAAAACTCAAAAACAACAAGCAGGCCTTCCTGCTT